TCTCATTCCAGTTCAAACATTTCCCCATGCATGTTTGTCTTTAAATTTGTAATTTATGTATGAACATATTTTTATATATAATATGCTGGGAAGAAATATACAATATCGAGATAAATTATATAATGCCGCACTTGGGAGTTAAAAGAAAACATAAGGGGAAATTAAGGACACAAATATGGGTAGAAGTAACAAGAAGGAATGAAAAAAAAAAAAATGGAGAGGAGTCGGAGGAAGAAATGTAAAGGAGGAAATATTAACGGGTGGAGGGCCGGTGAGGGAAAATATGAAGCAAAGGATAGCTAATTTCCTGTCAACTCGGAAGGAGAAATCAGTATAATCTCTCTTTTATGATATTTTCAATGCATGGAACACTCTTCTATTTTACTGTTTTGTAGTTATGTGCTGAGCAGAGCTTCATTAAACAAATAGTTTTTTTAGTTTTTTTACTGAACCAAGAATAATGTAGAATTAATAAGGGTTTTGACAAAAAAGTTGGGTCAGAGCAACAAAGCTGGAGAAATACCTGAATTTTTTTATTTATATATTTTTTCCAGTCTGGCTTTTCAGTCAAACTAAAAAAAAAAAATCCTCTAAAAATTCCTCACAATGCCCAGTTTAAGATATTATCAAAGATTGTACAGTATTGGTAAAAAAAATATCCAGTGCTTATGCAAAGCTCATTTTACTATGTAGCAACATCTTTAGGTAGCAGGAAATATAGAATCTGCAGATAACCCACCGGTCACATGACAACAACATCCACCAAATGGTATCACCCACCTCATTTGGCCATTTTCTCTCTTTAAAGATTTTATAGGCAGATTTATAACCTGCTTTATATTTAACTTTTCTGTTGATGTACTTACTGTACTTAGCGTGAAGGGAGGCTCTACCCGTCCGGCCTCCAACGCCTCCCAGTCAATAGACTGGAAGAAGCTGTGAGAACGGATTAGGCCTTTTCTCCCCAACCGCATGGCAGGTTCTTTCAGCAGGAGCTGTAAAGAGGAACAGAAGTGTGTGTGAAACAAACTTTTAATTACCTTTGTTAACAAAACAAAAAGCAAACAGCAATTGATATAACCGATAGTACAAAGAACTCTAACAGAAAGCAAAGTCTCAAATCCTGCCAAGTAAAAAGTGTCCAACTTCACACTGACAGACATTTTGCATGTTGTCAAATCATTCTCAGTATATAAACCCTAATGATTAGCTACAGACAAACCATTTACATGGCAGTAAGTAAAGTTTATGACTTGTGACTGTTTCCACGCTGCAGAAATTCACCGTTTATTATAGGTCATTTACGGCTCCTGTTACTAGTAACGCTTTCTATAGAGATTAGTAGGAGAAAAACACCTGGTTTCCAATCAATATGACAAAAAAAGTGTCACTTGGCCCAAAACATTCACTAACTCAGTCCAGTTACCACCAGATTCAGCGTGGTGTAACATTGAAAAGACAGGTTAGCAATTGCAGTCTCCTATTGGGAGGTGTTATTGCATTACTTTGACAGAAACCATTCAGAGTGACCTGGTAGCTGCTATATCAAAACTACACTGTTTATAGTGTTACATGTTAATGGTAAGCGTTACATGATGCTCGGTATAAAACTCCCTTTAGGTTTCCGACCCCTTTGCAGTTTGGTATTATATACAGGTATTAAATTTACCTTTTTTTTTCCAGTGACTTGCTCTGCCTATTTAGCTGAGATCATCACATTTGAAGTTATCAGCCAATCCAATGCTTTCCTATAGAAAATATTGCGCATGGGCGGCAAAATGCTGTGCTGCGCCTGTCAGCATCTTCTCATAGAGATGCATTGAATCCAGTGGTGTACATACCGCAGTTGCAGGGGTCTCAGCTGCGACCAGGCCCGTCACTCCAGGGGGCCTGGCCGCCATGCAGATACCCAACGGCATCTTTTGCGACCGCCGGGGCCGCACATGAAGGGGTCCATTGGGTGACCCATGCTGTTAGGACCACCAAAAGGAGCTAGATTGTCAGGGGGCCTGGTCAGCGCTGCGGCTCTTTAACAGCACGACCGGGCCCCCTGTGATGAGATTATCACTGCTGGGAGGAAGTGACTGCACGTGTCTGTTTGTATGTATGTATGTGTATTTGTATGTGTGTGTCTTTGTATGTGTGTGCCTGTGTGTGTCTGCCTGTATGTATGTGTGCCTGTCTGTTTGTATGTATGTGTCTTTGTATGTGTCTTTGTATGTGTGTGCCTGTCTGTTTGTATGTATGTGTCTTTGTATGTGTGAGCCTTTATGTATGTATGTATGTGTCTTTGTATGTATGTGTGTCTTGTGTGTGTGTGTCTGTCTGTCTGTCTGTATGTGTGTGTGTGTGTTTCTCTATGTGTGCCTGTCTGTTTGTATGTATGTGTCTTTGTATGTGGGTGTGCCTGTCTGTGTGTGTGTCGGTCCGTATGTGTGTGTCTGTATGTATGCATATATGTGTGCTTGTCTGTTTGTATGTTTGTGTGTGTTGGTCCGTATGTGTGTGTCTGTATGTATGTATGTATGTATGTGTGCCTGTCTGTTTGTATGTTTGTGTGTGTGTGTGTGTGTGTGTGTGTGTGTCTGTGGGGGGGAGGGAGAGGAGGGATCCCATGGATCAGTTTCGCACCAGGGCCCATGGATTGTTTGTACAACACTGATTGTATCAGTGTATCTCTATAGGGAGCGCTCAGCATCTGAGTGAGTGCCACTAGAGATGCTACTAGGCAGTAATGTTAACACTGGCTTTTCTATGAAAAGGCAGTGTGTTTACATTAAAAAGCCTGCAGGGGGGGGTGGAGCTTACCAGCCGAGCAAGCCGGACGCTCATGGTGGGAGCTCCCGCATCGGAAGCCTTGATTCAGGGCTTTACGCCCGACCACCGGATCGTGCCGGCAGCGGACAACCACCCTCGTATTCAGGAGGGAAGGCTGAATCCGGAGACACCCGATTCGGGGCTCTCCGCCGCGGGAAAGCCCTCATCACAACCCGCGGCCTGCACAGGTAGGAGCCGGGGAGAGACAGCCGCTCTCCCGGTTCTCAGGCTGAAGAGGGGACACTCACACACCACTTCCCCCCCCCCTTTGGACCGGTGGGGGATATCCCGGTCCCCACCAACACGAGAAACAACAAGTCAAGACAGCATAGCAGACGCCACTGAACTTCCAAGCAGAATGGAAGCAGGGGCACCCAAGATGGCGGAGGAGCTCAGCCTCACTTCACGTGGCCTGCTGCAGCCACAACACAGCAAAGACAAGCAAACAGCAAAAAGGAGAAAGATGGCGAACCATGGTACAAGCAGCACCCTTGCCACTCCACCCAAACACACCCAGGAGTTCTTTGACCGACTCTGCTCCAGTTTATGGTCACAACTCCGGCATAAGGTTCGTCCCTTTAAAGAAGCAGTCCAAGCAATAGCATTATGGGTCCGACCAGCTACCAGGCGGCAACTTTGTAAGTACCCACAGCGAGCCCCCAGGGCGGCCTCCAGCAGGGGACGAAGGCAGAGAGCAAAGCAACGAGTGGCGATGGATTGCCCCTCAGGCGCCAGCACTCTTCCTCTCAAGCGACCGCAAGCGGCGGAGGAGGCCCCCGAACAAACGCCTGCACAGCCCCAGCAAAGCCTCACATCACACAGACAAGATGGTAACCAAGCTCTAGCGACGGCTCACAACCGGAATTGTACAGCCGCTGCACAGGAGATAACCCCTACACAGAAAGCCTCGGACAGCTCACAGACCTTTACTGAAAGCCTGCCGACCTCTGGTATCGGGTAAATGGGGACACTAGCAACAAAATGGCAGTCTGATATGCCACTGTGCATGGTCAAATGAATAACTAGCACCCCTAGTACGGTTCATGCCAACCTACCAAATATTGCGTACACAGGAACACCCAAATTGACTTTGTAGTCACTGTTACTGAACCTTGTTTATTGCATATTTTAAATGTGTACAATTGAAAAAGTTTGCATTGTGATGCGTTAGGCGCTATAAGTTCTCTATCCTTCTGCTTATTCTAACTGAAATGTCTGAGCTTACAGGTATGTCTGTCGCTCTGCTGCTCCCTGGTGGATAAACTTAATTAAGCTTATAAAAATCTGTTATTAACAACGACCTTAACACGTGTCTTAACGACAAAAAGCAGCTCACTATTTTGTTTTTCACAACGTTTGCCCAGCATGAATGCCGACTTAGATATGTTGAGCGACAGTTATCTTGATGCATTTTACTTAATCCCACGCTGACGACGCAACTGTTTAACCAAACTTGTTAAAATTTAAAAAAAATGTGCAGACTCTCATGCCACTGTTATACCAATGTATATTTTCCATTACGCTGTTGTGGCGTCTGTTGATTCCTTGTACCTACCTGCACAGCAAAAATAAAGAATTAAAAAAAAAAAAAAAAAGCCTGCAGGGACAGGCTGTAGCCACCAGAACAACTACATTAAGCTAGTGACTATAGTGTCCCTTTAATTTGTGAAAAATTAGAGTTTAGTGAGTAACCCAAAGTGTCCCACCCACTGCCTCACTCCATAGTCTCTCCATCTGTCAATCTCTGTATAATGTGCATTTGTTATGTTTCCTGGCTGTGTGTGGTGTTTGCTGGCAGTCTGTAATGTGCGCATATGTTCTGTTTGCCCCCCTCTCTTGCTTTTTACAGGTTGGGGGCCAAGACCGACATTAAGGGGGTACAGATTGTACACCTGTAAGTGGCCTGGCAAGCCAGGCCCTGCATTTACAAAAGGATGTCCCTCCCCGGGTCTTTGCAGAGTTTGGCCAGGAGGGACAAGGATGCTCTCAGCCTTCCCCTCTGGTGGCTGATCCTCTGATTCTTGCAAGCGCTGACTTTCACAGCGTTGTTATTGTTACCACGGCCACTCTCCCATTCTAGATGGAGCCGGGGTTTGCAAGAAGTGAAGTGCCTTCACCCAGCAGAGGTGAAGATCACATCCTCCCTGCCCTGGCTGGGCCTCCTTCAGCAGCTCTTCCGCTTGTTAATGGCAGGGCTACAAGGAGGGGAAAAAATGCCTACCCTGCGGCTAGAACTGCATGTCCATATGTTGGGCGATACAAATTCCATATATCTGTGTTTATAGTAATGATACTCAAGAGCTTCTTTTTCAATGAGAATTGTGGAAGCAATCTCTAAGAATTGAAAATAAATGAAAAATATTTTTGCATATTACAAAATTTGATCATACATACCTTTTTTAGGATATCCTGTGTTGCAGTGCTTAGACACTCTGGGTAGCTCAGAGTATCCTGAAGCACTGAAGCCACCAAGGTTTCACTAGTATTCCCACAATAAAATGGGAATTCTCCAGTGGCCATGGTATACAGGATTACCCCAAATGCCCACCAGTCCACAGCAGCATTGTAACGTTGTCCGAGAAGCATCTAAAGATATAAAAATCAATATTTATTTTAAGAAACTAGTACTGTGAATATTTCAAGATAAGAATCGATAAGATATACAGTTATTTGTGGAATCTGGATATTACATTATGTACCATGTAATGACTCTTGAAAAGAAAAATAATATGCTGCACATATTTTGTATCAGTGCTCCTTTATGCAGATTGTATTGGACCTTGTAGGTCAGCTAAACCTTTCAATAAGGGCTGGCGCAACCATAAGGCGGCACAGGCGGCTGCCTTAGGGTGCACAGGCATGGGTGGTGCAATCTTCGAGATTATCAACTAGAAGGAAGCAGGAAGAGAAACACAGGAGCTGGGGAAGAGGAGAAAGAGAAACACAAAACAACTGGGGTGTAAGAGACATATATAACAGGCTGTGGGGGAAAGAAAGAGACACAGGGGCTGGGGAAAAGGCAAAAGAGACAGACACAGGGTCTGTAAAAGGGGAGAAAGACACATGGAGGTGAAGGAGGGAAGAGACACATACACAGGGGAAGTGGAGAAAGAAACACAAAAGGGGCTGGAAGAGAGGTATACGAAAGGGGCTGTGGGGGGAGAAGGAGAAATACAAATGGACTGGATAAGGGGAGGATGAGACACAGAGAGGATGGTGAAAATAGACACACAAAACAGGCTTGGAAAAAAGAAACACACACAGACACAAAGGAACTGTGGGTGATGAATTGGCACACAGAGTGACTGTGGGACTAAGAAACAAACAAAGGGGCTCAGGGGAAAATAAGACATAAAAAGTAGAAAAATGGGTAATAAGACTAAAGGGGGTGTAAGAACATAAAGAGGTGTAAGATGGGTTAAGAAAGACAAACGGAAATTCAAGAGGGGTTTAAGAAACACACAGACGAAGATGCATTTTTGGGGGGGAGGTGTAGGCAAAATGCGTAAAAGCCTTGCACCAGCCCTAAATTCAATTGTTTATTTCTTACAAAAAACACCAAGCGTTGGATCTTTCTTGCTAAAGTGTTTGCCAACATATCTTAGGAATTTCACACACTCAGAGAATCCAAATCCACCTCTCGCCAAACAACTGTTTACATATAATCTTCTATTTATTTTGGTGAGTAAATGTGTGAATGGTTTAGTTGAATTCAGAAGGGATGGTTGTATACATTTAGTCATCCCAACTACACACAGAATGTGCACTACAACACGTGTGCTCCCAGATGTGAAGCTTTAGGCCAGTCACGTACTGGAACTACATTAAAAATAACTTGTAATTTCTTGATTTCATTTGGAAATGTATTCCTCATGGGATGGATAGCGAGCCTAACTGCTGCAGAGCCATTTAATGTATGCACATAAGCCATGGTGTTGGTCTCACCTCTGGCGCAATATAGCCCAGGGTTCCAGCGTGTTCTTTGGCTTTTTTCCTTCCTCGCATGTTTTCCAGTGCTAAGCCAAAGTCGGCGATCTTCAGGTGCCCCACGCTGTCCATTAAGATGTTATCGGGCTTTATATCTCTGTAAAGGAAAAAAAGCGAGACCTGTTTCTGTAATTTCTATTAAAAAGGTTTTTAACCCTTTACTCACCAGGGAGGCAAGGAGAGCGATAGTGCCAGAAATACAGCTTTGTATTCCTGTCACAATAGTATCCCTTTAACCATTGTCTTATTTAGGCTAGTATGTCTCAGAGAAAGTGGAATGCAGGTGCCCCATTTAATGTAGTAGGACCCCACAAGCAGGGCCGGACTGGGGATACAAATCAGCCCTGAAAAAAAAAATCTATGCCAGTGCCATAAGTCATTGCGCCATATATTGTCACATGTAATATGTAAGGCTATGTCTTGCCACCCCAGATGATTGAGTAATATATATCTCAAATATATATTGCTTTTTCTAATATGAAATATTGGTCCCTTCAGAGTAAAACGTTTAATTATACAGTAAGCATACTCACATGCAGACACAGACAATCTCACTGACACACACAAGCTCATTGATACACAGACTGATAGACAAACAATCTCACTGATATACATAAGCTCATTGACATAAAAACACAAGCTCACTCACTAGCATGAGCACACACACACACACACACACATATGCCAGCAAGCTCACACACACCTTAATGTAGTGTTTCGGGTGTTTGAAGCAAGTCCTGGCTGGCTTTTCAATGTAAACACTGACTTTTTAGAGAAAAGGCAGTGTTTACATTGGTTTCTAGTGACACCTCTGGTGACAGACACTCAGATGGTCACTAGAGGTGCTTCCTGTGTCAGTGTGCAGCACCTACATTCAGGGCCTCCACGCTCTGGAGCCGCTGAAGGTTCCCCATAGAGATACATTGATTCAATGCATCTCTATGAGGAGTGTAGCGTTTTGCAGCCAATCCTATGGCACACATACACTGACACTGACAGACTGACACGCACCATGACACAGACAGACACACACACACACCATGACACAGACAGACACACACATACACTCACACTGACAGACACACACCATGACACACACAAACACACATACCATGACACAGACACACACACACTATGACATTGACACAGACGCACACTCACACTGACAAACCTGCCAGGGGGTCGTGCAGGGCAGACAGCTGGCTGTGCTCAGTGCTGGCGGCCGCAGGGGAAGCTGTGCTGGCGGCCGCAGGGTGGGTTGAACTGTGATGTCTTTGTCCTGCTCCTCAGCGTGCAGCTCAATGAGACCGGGGCCGGAATATGACGTCATATCCCGGCCCCAGTCTCAATAAGTAGCGCGCGGGGGAGCAGAACAAAGACATCGCAGCTCAACTCACCCTGCGGCCGCCAGCACAGCCAGCTGTCTGACCGGCCCCAGGTGCCGGTGGCCCACCGGGAAATTTCCCGGTATTCTGTTGGGCCTAATACCAGAATCTTATTGACAGAAAACACTAAAACAATTATACCTCCCAAGCGTCTTGTATCTAGTGGCGGTGGTGCTGGAGGGAAACTTACAGGATATAGCCATCAGAAAACACATACCCTATGCGAATCTCTAGCTTTCATCTTACAAGTAAATACATATCTCCGAACAACAGTGTCCCGTGAAGCAGGATTTCGGTGGGCAGGGTAAAAGGATGGGCCACTGATGTGAATCACGTAACTAGTACCGCCCAACGGGACAAACATGCCCAAAAAGGGGTCGTGTATGCACAAAGAAGTAGATGGTCAGCCTGGCATGAATACACATCAGGCTGCCTGCCAATCATTCAGGTTGACCAACCAAGAGCATACTGTGCAGACATCACCCTGAGCTTGGCATAAATGGTCCACTACTCTCCTGACCTTCTTACTATACAGTTTGGGACAGAGAAAACGTGTCTGTAGTGAGTGTAGAAGAAAGGGAACATGCCACAGTGTTAGAGAGAGTGTGTACTATGCATATGCTCTTGCTGCTTCAAAGTCAGCATTACTTTAACTAATATTATTGTCAGCCAGTCGACACCAGTTTTGTTTCCATACTTAAGCAAGAGCATGTAGCAAGAGTAGTGTCAAAAAAATCAGCCCCTTGAATGACCATTGAAGTGGTCTGGGTGCCAACTCCCATCACCCTTAATCCTGCAAGTGTAATCATTGCAGTTTTTATAAACTGCAATAATTACCTTCCAGGGTTAACTCCTCCTCTAGTGACTGTCTGCCAGACAGCCACTAGAGGGACTTCCGGCTTCTTAGACCACTTTTGGTTGTCTAAATGACGCGAGAAGTCCTCACACTATGCATGAGAACCTCCAGCGTCACTGGAATCCCCATAGGAAAGCATTAAATAATGCTTTCCTATGGGGAAGTCTAATGCGCGCGCGGCCATTGCCGCGCATGCGCATTAGGTCTCCCCCTGCCGGCGGACGTTGGCCGGGGAAGAGCATGGGCGGAGCCTGACCCACTGCGCTGGATTCAGGTAAGTGTCTGAAGGGGTTTTAACCCCTTCAGCGACATGAGATGGGGGGCGGGAGGAAGGGGCGCACTCCAGGATTCTACAGTGCCAGGTAAACAGGTTTGTTTTCCTGGCACTAGAGAATCCCTTTAATCCAGCCCTGCCCACAAGCCTGTGCTAGCAATATCTTGAATCAGAACTGTCCTCTGCAATGCAACTGCTGCCCAAATTAATACACCGTAACTCCTCCCATGCTCTGATCAAGAAAGAAAGGAGAACACCTTCAAAGTTATCTGGAGAGAACAAGGGATAACTATTGCCAGGGCCGGACTGGGAGAAAAATTCGGCCCGGGCATTTTTTTAACACAGCGGCCCACTAAAAAGGGGGCGGGGCATAGGAGGTGTGTTTTGTCATCACCAATGACAAACACGCCTCCTCTCAAAGTGAGCATGTTGGTTCAATGCTCTTCCAGGGCAGACCATGCGCAGAGCTCTGCTGAAGAGCTCTAGCATGAGAAAAAAGTCCTGTATTTGTTCTGCACAGTGCAAGCAAATTTAATAACATGCTTGCACTGTCTTTCCTTGCAACTTGTCTCTGGTGTCTCTATAAATGGATACCAGGAGACAAAAGGCCAGGAAAGAGTATTGTGCATGTGTTTGGAGCCTGCTTGTGGTATTGCGTGTGTGTAGAGTGAGCTGGTCGTGGTGTGGTATTGTGTAATAAGGTCGGTTTTAGTCGTGTTGTGTTTGTGGTGTAATGTGATGCATATGTGGCTCAGGGACCCCCTCCCGCCCGGCTCTGGAAAGGGGTTAAAACTTACCTTTTTCCAGCGCCGGGCGGGGAGCTCTCCTCCTCCGATCCGCCCCGTCGGCTGAATGCGCACGCGCGGCAAGAGCTGCGCGCGCATTCAGCCGGTCGCATAGGAAAGCATTTATAATGCTTTCCTATGGACGCTTGCGTGCTCTCACTGTGATTTTCACAGTGAAAAGCACGCAAGCGCCTCTAGCGGCTGTCAATGAGACAGCTGCTAGAGGCTTTGGGGGAAGGCTTAACCCATTGATAAACATAGCAGTTTCTCTGAAACTGCTATGTTTATAAAACAATGGGTTAACCCTAGAAGGACCTGGCACCAAGACCACTTCATTAAGCTGAAGTGTTCTGGGTGGCTAGAGTGGTCCTTTAAGAGTGTTGTGTGTGTGTGTGTGTATATATATATATATATATATATATACACACACACACACACACACACATATATATATTTGGAAGTATTGTGTATGTGTGTGGTGCAGTGTGTTGGGGGGGTTCTGTGTGTATGTGAGGGGTGCAGTATGTGTGTGTGTGAGGGTGCGGTGTGAGTGATGGGTGTGAGAGTGCCGTGTGAGAGTGCCCTGTGTGAGATGGGTGTGAGAGTGCTGTGTGAGAGAGTGCTGTGTTGTGTGAGAGTGCTCTGTGAGTGTGATGGGTGTGAGAGTGCTGTGTGAGAGAATGCTGTGTGTGTGTGAGAGTGCTCTGTGAGAGTGCTGTGAAAGAGTGCTGTGATGGGTGTGAGAGTGCTGTGTGAGAGAGTGCTGTGTGTGTGTGAGAGTGCTCTGTGAGAGAGTGCTGTGTGTGTGATGTGAGTGTGATGGGTGTGAGAGTGCTGTGTGAGAGAGTGCTGTGAGTGTGTGAGAGTGCTCTGTGAGAGAGTGCTGTGTGTGAAAGTGCTGTGTGAGAGAGTGCTGTGAGTGTGTGAAGTGCTGTGTGAGAGAGTGCTGTGTGTGTGTGAGAGTGCTCTGTGAGAGAGTGCTGTGTGTGAAAGTGGTGTGAGTGTGTGTGTGTGAGAGTGCTGTGTGAGAGAGTGCTCTGTGAGAGAGTGCTGTGTGTGAAAGTGCTGTGTGAGAGAGTGCTGTGAGTGTGATGGGTGTGAGAGTGCTGTGTGTGATGGGTGTGAGAGTGCTGTATAAATGTTATTGTGTGTGTGTGTAGGGGGGGGTAAATAAAAAAAAATAAAATAAAAAAAACAGGCATTATGTCCCCCCCTCCCTTCTTACCTTTAGCCTGGGAGGGGGGTCCGGCACGCTGGCAGGCAGGGTGGCGGTGTTCCCTGGTGGTCCTCGTGGGTGAGTGAACTCTAGCCTGTGAGGCTAGAGTTCACTCTCGCGAGATCCGGTCGTTGCCATGGCAACGCGCCCGGCGGAGCTGCAAGTTAGAGCTCCGCCGGGTCCTCTCTCCAGCCTGGCTGGCTGTCTCCCTCTCTGCCCGCCGGCGGCCGCATGTGGGCCGGTCAGGGAGATCCTTGATCTCCCCACCGGCCTGTCGTGGCACAAAGCGGGGCCGGCGCTGGGAGAGTGCCGGCCCTGCATAGACCGGCAGGGGAGATCCTGGGACCTCCCCTGCCGGCCTCGGCCCATGGCCACCGCGGCCCACCGGGCATTTGCCCGGTGTGCCCGATGGCCAGTCCGGGCCTGACTATTGCTTCATGTAGTTGTGATGGTGCTAGGAAACTGCCAGTGAGGAGTCTCTAGGTTTTTTTCAAAGTAAAATGTTATATATGATATTTTGGGCTAGAGTTATCATTGTAAATATTTCTCTAATGTG